TTATCCGATTTAAAACTTTCCCTTTGATACCATAAACCTTAACTTTTCTGAGAAGCCTCTGATGCGGTACTCTGTCAAAAGCTTTGCTAAAGTCTAAGTAAATAACATCGTAATTTTTTTTATTATCTACTACCTCATAGACTTCTCTAAAAAACGTCAGCAGAATTGTTTGACAAGATTTTTCCTTTGTAAATCCATGATGACAGTCATAGAATAATTTGTTTTCTCTCAATGCGATCGGATGCTATTTACTATAATTGATTTAAGAAATTTCCCCACGTCATGCTAATCGTCCGGTAATTTGACGATGATGCTCTGTCTCCCATTTTTTTAATATTGGTACTACATTTGCCTGTCTCCAGAAGAATTTCATCCGGCCCTGGGGATTTTTTCTTCTTTAATTTATTTATCTTCTTAGGAACATCCTCTCTTCTGATTGTGATTTACTTTATTTTTTCTTCTTCATTTCCCCTAAATATCAATTCCACCTCTGGCGTTTTCTCGTGAATTTCTTTTGTGAAAACTGATAAAAATAGCTGTTCAATGCTTTGCTTATTTCCGCACTATCATCGATCACTTCCCCTCTCTCTGACTTTAATGGCCCACTTACTCCTTGACCTTTGTCCTATATACCTGGAAAAATCCCTTTGGATTTGCTTTGGATTCTCATGCTATCCTGATTTCGTAGTCCCTTTTTGCCTTCCGTACATTTTTCTTAACATTCCTAGATAGTTCATTATACCTATTTCTGAGATGTTCCTCCCCTCCCTTTAATTTTTTATGAATTCCTTTCTTTATTCCTATGTCATGTTTAAGTTTTCTGGTCATCCACCTTGGTTCATTCTTATTTGACCGAATTTTTCTGTATGGTATATTTTGTTCTTGTGTTTTACATAGTATACTAGTGAATTTAGTATAGTCGTCATCAACTGTTGTGTCGCTTGGGACCCCACCCATTCCCATCGGAGACTGACCTCACCATTCCCAGGAGACCTCACCTAGGTACCTTCTTAACCCCTCATAATCCTCCGATCGAAAATCTGGGACTCTGACCAAATTGTCATTATTTTTGGTTTCCCAATTTAAGGTATACCTGATTTATCGGTGATCACTGTTCCCTAGTTCTTCCCCTATTGTGATGTCTCTGATAATATTTCCTTTATTTGTTAATACTATGTCTAATATATTGTCACCTCTAGTAGGTTCTGTAATCAGTTGTTTTAAAAAATTGTCATGTACTGCGTCTAGGAAGTCTTCAGATTCATAGTCACGTATAATGTTGTCCAAGTCAATATTTCTGAAGTTGAAGTCCCCATAATGCACATTTTGTTGCATCTTGCTGCCCTACTCATTCCTACCATATGGGCTGAGCTGCTTCTTTCCCTAGACTTGGGGGCCTGTAAACCACTCCCATAATTAGTTTTCTCTTCCTTCTGTAATATCTACCTATACAGACTCAGTTCCTATTTCGCCCTTTATTGTATTATTAATACAACATTTTAATGTATCCCTGACGAAGAGTGCGACCCCCCCCCCCCCATTCCTACCTTCCCTGTCCTTGTTAAAAAGGCTGTACCCTATGTGAAACTCTGATAAAAAGTTCTTGCTCGCCCAATTCATTCAAGTTTCGGTGATTGCTATGACGTCTGCATTCTCAGTTCATACAACCGCTCGCAGCAATTCTATTTTATTTCTAACGCTCCTACTGTTTGTATAGTATACATTTAAACCTACCCTTCCCTGGTCCTGTTTTACCCCTTGTCCCGAGTAACCAATTCTCCTCTCCAGGACCTGCTTGTTTTTTGACTCCCACTTACCCTGACCTCTCTCTACTGGCAAAAATCCCCCTTCGGAGTGACAATTTCACGCTCCAGGGATTCAGAAAACGTCTTTACCCGCACGCGAGACAAATCTACCCCGTCACGACTGTACAGGTAGTCGTTGCAAAAGAATCGTCGCCAGTTATCAATGAATTTCCAACCATTGTTTGCACAATTTTTTTCCAGTCGGCACTTTATAGCAATTGCCCTGGACAGCCATTCATCTCCATCTCCTCTTCTAGGCAAGACACCACACATTATTGGAATTCCTCCCCTATCTCTAACCTTCCCTAGCGCCTCCCCATACCTCCTGAAAAGTTCCTCACTCCTAACCTTTCCTATGTCGTTGCCTCCTACACTAAGACACACTACTGGCTTGGTACCCTCCCCTGATAAGACCCTATCCATCCTATCGGCTACGTGCCCTACCCCAACCCCAGGATAGCACACCCTAGTCCTATGTTTCCTATCTCTCATAAAAGTCCTATCAAAGAACCTTACCTGGCTGTCCCCAACTAGCACGACCTTTCCCCTTGGCAGGGTTTGACCAACTGCCATTTTCCTCTCCTGCCTTTCTTTTCCTCGTCACCTTTCTCCAACACTGGTAGGGTTTAAGGCACTCCACACCCTGGTCAGCATTCTGGAGTCTGACTTAGTCCCCTTGGAGACAACCACTCTCCACTCCTGCTCCTCCTTTGTAGGTGTCCTCCTTGACAGGACACCCACCTGAAGAAGTTCTGTCGAGAGGGCTTCGTTCTCCCCCTTCAAAACGTCCATCTCTTTCAGCAATTGCTCCAGCTCCAGCTCTAGGTCACTCAACAGAGTGGCCGGGGGTCGTGTCTCCCCACACACAGCCCCTCTTCCCCCACAAGACAACGGCCCACGGCCATTTTCTATAGTCACTCACACGAGCACACAGAGGCTCGTCCTTCTCCAAGCTAGGTCAGGTCGGTACTGACTGCTTAGTTCCTTTCCCTGCTCCTCGACGTTCAGGATTCACCCGACAGGCCCCGCAAATTCTCTAGCTACCTCCTCACTCACCACCCTATATGCATTGATCCTTCCCTTGCCACCGAAATCCTGGTATCGGCCCCTGCTCGTCCTTTCCATCAGAATGGAAAACCCATCAACCGGCTTGTTGTCGTCTGAAGTTTCCCAGACCCTCCCCCGTCAGCTATCGCCTTCGGCTTCTTCCCCTTTCTCCCATCTTGTGAACTACGCAAAATGAAGACCGAAGGACCACGGTGCTTTAAATTCTGGGGAATCGGTCATACATCCCGCTACTGCTCTGTTCCAGAGATATGTGCCTTTTGCGCTAGGCCCATGACCCCTTCATCACCCACTATCTCCGATGCCTCAACCTTGAGGCTACCTCCCTCATCTACGTCAGATACTTCTCACAGAGATGTCCTCGCTGTCATGAACAAGGAGTCAATCCAATGTCTGGCACGGCTGCACCAGACGCCAGCCCGCCGTTCCACCATTGCCACCACCGCCGCCTTATGTCTCGCTGGTGGGTCCTAATGCACCAGCATCTTTGCCGCAGGACGCCACACCACCTGTCACCTCTAATAATCCTGACTCTGTCGAAGTTCTTGGCCTCCGCGATGCTGTCAACTCTCTGATGTCTAGGTATACCCCACTTGCAGCAAACGTCTTGATGCCAATGAAGCTCGCATTGATGGTCTGGGAAGCAGGCACATCACTACTGGAAACACTTTTGCCTCTTTTGTAGAAACTAAACAGGTCGTCATCACGTTTGTCACCACCCCTATCATTGGTCTCCTGGCCCCCCTCACGTGGCGCACCACAAAGTGACGCGACGCCCTTGCCACCTCCTCTTCCACACCTGGCTCTCGTAAAGGTAAACATCAAGTTCGATAACCAGATACCGCTTCACATTATCTCATGGAATCAGAAACGATACGAATAATCGCTGCACTTAAAGGTTATATTGATCACCATCATCCGGATGATATATTCATCCAGGACGCCTTTGCTGGCCGATCTCTATTTCAAGGAAAGGCTCCTCCGCTTACTGGCTACATTCCTTATGTTCATCTTGTCAGGAATGATCCCATCAGCTATGTCTGCTCCTCCATACCACATCGACTTCTTCGCTGTTCTCAGGATGACAATATGACACAATATGACTTTCCAGCTTCTTGATATGGCAGTGGGTGACTGCAAGATCAGTCTATGCAATGCCTGCTCTCCCCCTGTCAGGATAAATATATCTGTCCTCCCTACTCCTCCGATCTCTGGTATGATCTACATGGGAGATTTCAATGCTCGACACCCTGAGCTCGGTGACCTCTCTCCTAATCCCAACCAAAATGGGATTCGTCTTCTTGAGTACATCCGCCGTCACCAGCTATCTCGCTGGGATACTGGTGGTGCCACTCACTCTCGTGGAGGTATACTAGAACACAACTTTACTTCTGGACTAGTGGCATCCCAAATAAGGTCCCCATCCATCCCTACCCTCTTCTCCGACCACGTCGCCCTCAGCCTTCAGTATTCACTCCTAGCTGCACCTCCGCATATCCAGAGTTGTACCCGTATTACCATCCCTCCGAAGTACTGTCCTGCCTACATCGTGTACATGTCTAACCTTCTCCCCACATTCGATTTAAAGTCGCCGGAGAAGTTATATTCATCCCTGGTGAATTCCACACATAACTTCCATAGTCACTACGTTTATCGGCCAAACATCAAACGTCGTTCCGAAGCCTACGCCTGGACCCTTGATGAATGTATCATCCAGGCGGAAAAGAAGGCAGTGGAAAATGGTATCTCATTCCAACGTGAACCGACCCTTCACAGCCTCCGTACCAGTCGTCCAAAGATGATCTAATTGCCCATCAACAATGTGTTCTGACTGAATCCTTGCGTAATCTTATAGACAGCATTAACCATCAGACTAGCGTGGAAGCCATGTGGCACCTCATCAACAAAGTGGTCAAGAAAAAGTTCTTTAGTGCCCTTCACCACAGCCCAGAAGAGTACGCACAAGATCTTGTAGGAACATGGTCTGGACAATACCAAGCCGTAATCTCCCGGAGCACATTCACTAGGCCCTCTCCTCCCATTCAAATCTCCACACCCCCCGCCTCATGGCGGCGTTGCTGAATGTCGATGAAGAGGATATGGTGGAGATAACCGAGGAGGAACTGCTACATGCCTTCATTCGGGGTAAGGCCTGCCCCTGGTGATGACGGTGCCACCTACTCAGTTCTCCGTTTGTTCCTGAACGTCACCGGCAACCTCCTCCTCTCGCTTTACAATCTCTGTCTTCACACAAGGTACGTATGTGCCCAATACCTGGACTGGACCTCTGGCACAATAGTACCCATTCCAAAATGTGAGACAGCCAAATTCAGACCTATTTCTCTCACCTCTTGCTTCAGGAAGGTGATGGAACGCATTCTCCTTACCTGTCTCATGTTTCGGCTGGAGTACAAACTCACCCAGCTTATATGGTTTTCTACTACAACGGATTTGCATCACTGCCTCTTGAAACTCTATACTCGCCTCTCCTGCATGAGTGCCGTAGCCTTCATCGACCTTAAATGCGCCTTTGATGTTGCAAATAGAGATATTATCTTTGTCAGCCTAGTAGACTTCGGTGCTAAAGCTAACTTCTTAAGATGGATCCGTGGATACCTCCGGAAAAGAACCTCCCGTGGCTTCTTTAAGGGGGCATGTAGCTCCACCAAAGGACTTCAATCGAAATACTCCACAGGGTGGTGTTCTTTGCCCCTTTCTCTTTAATGTCCTTATGCCACGGTAGGACGCCACCCTCCGGGAGGCTCCACATTGTCTCACTGTAGTGCATTAAGGTAGACCACATTTTTAGTTTTGCCATTAGCAGCAAGTATGTACAGATTTTTGCCAGTTCCCACTCTGGAGCATCGAGCATAGAACTGTCCATGAGAGAAGCAAGGAAACACCAGGTTTAGGCCAACCATCTTTCGGGACTGTCCCTGGCCTTTGTAGATGGTCATGGCAAAGCTCACTTTAACCGGGAACTGAAGTCGCTTGAACTCAAATGGCAGGTCAGTGGTGATGAGAGGTATCCTTGGTATAAAAACGTCCTCTCCGTTAGCTTTTCCTGTCAGTATTGTAGCTTCCAGTACATGTGGCATCATGTTCTTCACCATCAGTCTTGTGTCATTGCAGAGGATTGGTGGTTCAAGATTTCTTAAGAGCATTATAGGAGTTCCAATCTTGAGAGTGAGGTGGTGAGGAGGCATTCCAGCGGGCTCCAAAGAATTAAGGAATTCTGCAGGGTACTGGACTGCTTGGTCCTGGTCGATTACTGTATCAACAGATTTGAATGAGGTGTCACTACCTGGAAGCTGTCTGAGTAGAGTCTTGTTGATTTCAGCCACTGTTTCATTCTTTGGTGCCAGAATTGCGCGTTCACGCAGCCGCTTGTGATCCTTGTAGTGGTGGATAATGTTTGGGTAGACCATGTTAGTGAGCTCAGTTGAGGACTTTGCAACATTTCCACATCCACAAAGAGAGGGAAAGAAAGAGAATATATACATTGGGAGAATTACTAAGGAAAGAAAAAGAGAAAATTATATAAAAGACAGAGAGAGAAAGACACTTATAACTATTAAACCTTACCATATTAAAGTGTTTATAGTAAATCATCTGAAGTCTTACATATGAGTGGTAGTTACAACCTTATATCTTAATAACTCTAATGTTTTGATCCTTTCTTATGATGTTGAGCCCAAATAATAATGAATGAATAATGTGTTTCTTTCACACGCATATGTAGTATATTGGGAGCCCTCCCCTCCCCTCCCCTCCCTCCCTCCACAAAAAAATCAATATTTATAATGTAATAATTCAGCCAGATCAAGACATGGGCATGTGGTAGACCTCGTTTCTGCCACTCAATGGAATACATGTAGCACGTGTAGGGCCAAAGATCAATAGTTCATTAACGGTGTATGTAAGTTTCACCATGTTTTTCACTACAACGGTACAGCAAAGTATATTTTTTTAGCATTAAACTGTTATTATTTTATTGTTTAATCATCACTACATATAACATCATCCATCATCGCATACACTATATAACATCATCATCCATCATCACTACATATAACACCATCCATCATCACTACATATAACACCATCCATCATCACTACAGATCGGTAAAGTAGTTCCGAGATTCTCGTGCGGACACACACACAAACACACACACAGACATACTTCTTTGTTATATATATATATATATATATATATATATATATATATATATATATATATATATATATATATATATATATATATATATATATATATATATATATATATCACTTCCCTTACTCTGCTATACGCCTCTTGTAGTAATTTAACATTGGGGTGACGCATTTGAGAAAGTTTCGTATGGCTCCTTACTTGTTAAAATACCCTCTTTTGGAATTGCCACCTTAATACTTCTGTTTTCTTCTCCTATTTTGGATTGTCGTAGTTGTACACGGTCTCCTTTCTTGCAATCTGGAGTTTCTCGGGTTTCTGTCCGAAGCAGTTGTCTCATTACACATTAGAAGTCTTCTTATAGTGATAGACAACACAGATATGAAATATGTAAGACCAGACAATAAACATCACAATAGCTATAAGTAATTGTTAAACGTACAGTGATGTGTTGTGACTCAAACGCGGCTTCTATAGTGTTAAAAATTCAAAACACAGTATTTAGTAAAACGTGTGATACAGTATTGTACAATTCAACATAAATTGTAAGGGCACCATAACCCTACTTTCACCACCGGCTTACCAGGAACTCTAATAAGAATCATACACTTTCTGTTTAATCAATATTCCAAATTACCAGTGTGGAATTTTCTGATACAGTTTGATTTTCCTGCACCACATATCCCCTAACGGTTCAGAACATCGTCCTTCGAGTATTTGCAATCATAGGCAAGTTGACACATTAATGAGTGGATTTGACATCGATCATTGCCTGATCTCCCTAAGCATCTATTTGTTAAATAAAAAGGACAAATTTTCAGAATTATGAAGTATAAATGGAAAGATACAAACTCGATAGTAGGTATTCCTCTCTTCGTTATGCTTGTTTCTTTTTTCTTTGTGAACTGATCTCTATAAACTGTTCATCAATAAACTTATTCGGTGTCCGAGTTTAGTGGTGTGGTGTGGATGTGCTCATTGAGCATGACTTAAGTTTGATTTTTCTTCATTTTATTTTTTTTGTAGTACATTTATGATATTTTTCATTCATCATCATCATCATATGTGAAAGCAAGTGTGAGTCCCGTAGACATGACGACCAGTTAGAGACAGTGCGAATACAGTACACAGTTGGCTAGTCCTTTTTTCGGTACTCAGGGAGACAGCGTGGCCGGCACTGCAATCGACCAAGGCATAAACCAACGAACGCCAAGATAAGAGACGAACACTATATCCCCTTTTTTCCGTCGCTAATGTAACCTTCCATAAAGTATTTAATGTGTTTGGATAGATAATATCCAGATATCTATTACCCAAAGATATGATAAAGTCAAGGTAAATGTGCTATAAATAGTTTTTTTTTTTTTTGCATACTGATAAACACACCCATTTGGAAGTATAACGACACCCAGGCAATCAATTCTGCGCCTGCTTGCACAAGTTCTTTTGAACAAATAGGTCTCTTAGCCAGCCACTGCTGTACTACTATGTACAAATCTTCTTAAAGAAATATATGATCCTAATCTGGCATTGCTACTTTTATATATAAAAATCGTCTTCAACAAATAGATGAGCACCAATAAGAAATTGTAGTGCTCATTTCAATATCTTTCGGAATATATGTTACAGGGAATTTGTGTAACCAGTGATTTCACGTATTCCCTAAAATTCCCAGAGATTATTTAATAAATGCCTTATTTTGCCTTTTATTTTCTTTATCTATTTCTTCTTCTTTTAATTCGTACTTCTATTATTTCTTTCATTCCCTTTATACTCGTGAGATGGAGGGGTGTGACTACTGTAGAGAGGGGGGAGAATTGAGGAAGGAGGGAGTGAGGAACTCATGGTTGGTTTGTGGTCACTCTCCCACCAGAGGATTTAATTTTTTTTTTTTGCCGCTTATAGCGGCTACTTTATTGTACACCCACACTCATCCTGTGAGCTGTAGCACAAAATGATTACAGAGTAGAGTTTACAACGGGTCATAATATTTAACCCCCGTGATCAGGATATTATGGCACTGAATGTTACACAGTATTTCAATTACATTATTTGTTTAGTTCTATACATAAAGGGTAACTTGTTCACAAATGCGTGAGTACAGGCGTGTGAGGCAGTATGCCTGGCCGCACACTTTGTTATTCACATTTGTGTGATAAATATTCAAGCACATTGTGTATTTGGTTCTATGCATGAGAACTGATATAGTTACTAAATGCCAAAAAGTGGATGCAATCTTAATATGTCGGCTATCTTGCCATTGGAGATGGAGTGTTGTGCCATTTCACACACAGTGTGCTTGGACCTGTCCCTAAAAGGTTCTATCTTCACATAGTCGAGGACGTAGTGTTCAAGTGTGTGGCCATATGTCTGGCCACACACTTTACATTTAGTCTTGTTTACATCTGCTCCAGGAACATACTGCCAGAGGTACTTATATCCTAACCTTAATCTAGCGGTTACAAAATCTTGTAATCTAGTGATCTTGTTACTTGCTCTATATACATGTTTCACTTGCTACATCTTATCATGGTAAACTTGGATCGACTAGTGTCTGTTTGCACTTGTCTACTTGCGTCAAATTCATCAATAAGTTCTTTCCTAATTACAGTTTTAGGGGGGTTGTTTTTGACACTCAAATTGTATTCAGCAGTGTCTTTCTTCGACGCGAGTTTGGTGAGGGCATCAACTGTGTCATGTTATATGAGGCCTATGTCAGAGGGGATCCACAACAGCTTGACCTTGACACCCCGGTCAACAAGATGCTCATATTTGTGTCTGGCTTCAGAGACAAGCGCATGACAACTTGAGTTGAGGGTGTTAAGGGCAAGTAGTGAGGATAGAGAGTCAGTGATGATGAGACTGTCAGTAACAGTGGTTTCAATGAATTTAATAGCAACTAATTCAGTTTGTAGAGTGGATGCCCAGTTGTTAATTCTAATTCCTTTCTCAATTATATTTCCGTCAGGATGAGTCACAACAATAGCACTTCCAGCCCTCCCACAGGCGGTGTTAAGAGATCCATCTGTGTAGATGGTTTGTGTGATATTATCATCAGTCTGTAGAGTGTGTATGTGTTCAAGAGCTCTCACTTTGGCAGAGTTTTGGAGATAAATACTATGCATAATTCTTTTCTTAGGCGGATATGTCGGTATTGCGATATCGAAGGGAACTGTCCGCCAGGGTGGCAGGAAGCGCTGTTGTGTCTCAACTTTGTACAGGTGGTCTAGTCCAAACATCTTCATATGTGTAGCTGTAGTTTGGATCCATTTAGACTCACGAGTCCCATGGTTCATACATTCTAGCAATTTTAAGGAAACAATGTTATCAGGATCACCACGCAGAAACCTCAGGGCTATCATGAGGTTGACTTTAATTATTATATCTTTGACACTGGGTATACCTAGTTCTTTCCTCATATTAATTACTATAGTGCTCATGGGACAGCCTAGGATAATTCTGAGGGCTGTATTTTGCATTTTCACGAAGGACCAGGGCTGGTGCGTGGTAGTCTATCAGAGATCTTATATAGCCTAGGTACATTGTTTTAACA